TCCCGGCCGGGCCCGCGGCGAGTGATCCGGCCCCGAGCTCGTGGGCGCGGACGCGGCCCGCCCTTCCCCTGGCTGAGGGCACCAAGCAGGCACTCCTGGCCAGGCCTTCCGTCTTGAGCCCAGGAGCGGCCGGGGACCCTGAGGTCTGTCGTCAGGAAGGCGACCTCGGCGGCTTGGCACCAGGGCACTGGGGGTCGGGTCACCCCTCCGCAGAGTACGGGGTCGGGCGGCACTGGAAGTGGAGGGAGGGCCCTGGGACAGATTCCCGGGACCTCTGAGAAGTGTGAGCCTGGAGGAGAAGGTAGGGTAGCGTCCAAGGGCAGGACGCTTCGGTCCAGTCATCCGCCATTGTGAAGCGTTCTGTCCGCCAGGAGGCGCTCTGCGAAACACCTGCGGCTCGGTGTGGGGGCTCCAGCGGAGGGCCTAGGCCTTTAAGTCCTTGTTGGCTGGACTCAAGACCCTGGGCAGGTGGAGAGTCCATCCTGTCGTGTTTAGGGTTCTTTCTACCTCCCAGTGTTCTGGAAGTATCTGGGAGCGGAGGGGGCCAGGGAGTCCAAATGAAGGACCGCCCTGCCCAAAACCCTCAAAAAAAAAAAAAAAAAAGCAAGGGGCCAGACTCTTCAGTGGGACAGCCAGTGCAGAGGCATGCGCACACGTGGACACCCAGTTCTCTGTGCCTGCCCGGGGTCCCACACCCCAGATCCAGGAGGCAAGGCGAGGTGAGGGAGGGGAAGTCATGAACAGGACCTTACTCCGAGCTGGGAAGCCAGGCCGACTTGGCTGGTACCATAGATGTAAGTAATCTCAAAAGCACAGGCAATATTAAATGGAACAAAATAATGAGGAAGTGATGCGTTTTGAGTATTAGCTTAATGTAGTTTATTTAACTATAAGTTTATATAATTTAAACGTTAAGATGGTTATTTGTCAATCAGCCTGCAAAATTCCAGAAAATGGAATAATCATCTGGTACCTGTTGGCTCAACACAACACAGGTGTGGGGGACATCTTCTCACTTGGTTCAGAGCCCTGACTGGTGGTCAGTGTGGAAAAGGCACGCAGGCATGAGAAGACTAACCAGGGAAAATGGGTGGCATTATGAGGATTTCAGTGCCCACCCAGGGTCTTTACCCGGTGGACAGTCAGAGCAGGGGTGTGCCTAAACCCCATCATGCAGCATCTCCAAGGCCTGTCCTCCTCTAGGGCCAAGACCATGAGCAGGTCTAGAACCCCCACCTCAATCAGGGAAGAGCTCCCCTTGGGCAGGCAACAGTTGAATGCTGGGAGGGCCTGGGAGAGTGCTGGACAGGGACACCATAATCCTTCCTCCTGCTTCTGAGCCCTTCTAGCATCAGGGTCCCCGATGACTTTCAGAATAGCTACCCCTGCAGGGATGAGCCTGGGAGAGGCAAGGGGAGGGGGAATGGCCAACAGCCCCCTCCCCCTGAAAAGAAGGAGCAGGAGTCCTCACAGATCACTGCTTTGGGACATGGTGCACCCTGGCACAGAGCTGGTGGAAGTGCCTCTGGAGGTCAGGCTGCGAGCCACCCTTAGATGTGCTGGCATCTTGTTGAGGATGGGGGACAACCTGCAGCCAAGTAAGCAGCTGGTGTTTTCATTTTCCTGTAAGGTTTCAGGTTGTGTCGGGGTCTGCTTTGTTTTTCAGCAACCCCTAGGTGCAAACTGTGTTCTTTTCTGGATCTGAGAGCAGGTTTCATTGTCTTAAGACTCCTGGTCTCTGCATTCAACAGCTCACTGTAACAGCTCATTGGGCTTTCCAGGTACCACGGGCACTTCTCTATGTGGTTAATGCCTCACACCAGGTGTGGGGGTGTTCAGGTGTCCTCGGGGCAGAGCAGGGGTGCTGCAGGCTGCCCCACGGGAGCATCACCAGGGACGCAGCCAGCTTCGTGACTCCTACCCTACTTCCTATGTGAGGAGTCCCTGGGGCCTAGGGTTGGGTGTGGGCCGGCTCTGACAGCAGCCATCCTCACAGGCCTCTGAGTCACAGCCTCAACCCACCTGTGCCTCAGTCACTCGCCTGACAGGCCCTACCCACCAGCTCTGTGTGACAGAACACAGGACCTGCTCCCTGGCTTGCTCTCCTCTGTCCTCTCCATGGACATCCCTGTAGTCATCACCACATCCTACAAACTAACAGCTGTCCTTTTCCAAAACCCTCTGTCCACATTCATGCATTTTAAGGCATAGACGAGCTACTGTCTTCACTTACAGATGGGGACACTGAGGAAAGCCCAATGTCATACGGTTCCAGTGAGGGTGTGGTGGGGGGTCAAGCCCGAGCCCGCACACTCTGTGACCACCTGTGCAGACAAGGACCTCAAAGACAGGAGCCCTGAGGGGTGGCTGGGCCTCAGTGCACTCACCCCCAGAGTACAGGCAGATCAGGCTGCGTCTGCAGCCCTGGGGCTCAGAGCTTCTCAGCCGTCAGCCCTGCAGCTCCACAGGGCTCCCCTGTCCATGCCCACTGTGCAAATTCAAGGGAACCTGTGACAGCTGCAGTCTCAAGCAGCTGGCTCCCTCTCCAGATTCTCTGTACCCATCCCAGTGTTCCCACATGAGGATCTCCTTCCTTCCCAGCCCTTCCTCCTCAGAGCAGCCAGGGCAGCTGCTGGCCCAGTCTGGAAGAGGGCAAGAACTGGATGGTCTCTCTCTGCCCTGCCCTGTCCTTCCATAGATGGGACTGAGCTCTTGATCTATGACTTCTTGTTCCCAATAAAAAGGAGTTTGCAGGCAAAAAATGGGAAGGCTGGTCTTACTTTTCTCCAAGCAGGGGTTTCCTGGTGCCAGGCAGGGCCTTGGGCATTTAGTACAGTGTACATATTCATAACGTTTGCTTTCAGTTGGGCAAATATTTCCAGAGCATCTGCTGAGGGGCAGGCCAGTTGCCAGGGCCAGCGGTGAATAAAACACTGACACCCATTC